AAATTTCACAGAGGGAAAATCTGAAAGGAGAGATGAACTGGAAAGAGAGAACAATGCTGCTTATAGTGTGGTACCTAAGGATTCTTCTTCCCTTATATCATCCAGTCATATTGACATTGCAAAGAACTTTGTTAACTCCCACAAATGGGAAGCTTGGGACTTCAGGTCTCTAAGCCAGGCCACATGGCTCACTTGCTCTCATACTTTCCTCTTTTAGTTTTCTCTGGCAGCTGAGCTCTTCCAGTTTTCCTGTGGCAGCAGATACAGAGGCCTTTGTTTCAAACATTTCAGAAAAACAAAAGTGAAGAAAAAGGAGATCCTCAAAGAGACATGTTGAAGTTTCTTAGGAAAGATGCAAACAAACTCAATGTGAAACACATTTCTGAAATATTCCATTAGGATAGACAGTGTTAGAACCTCCAAAAATCAAACCTTATCCTTTAAAAATCCCCTTGCAGAACAATTACATGATTATTGTAGCAAGTTAGAGAACCATTAATCAGGAAAGCATGATTTTTCATAAATAAATGACCAGGTATCTGACTCTCCAGAGCCCTGAACTTTATGCAGAATGAACATCTATGAACATTTAATTTGCTAGCATTTTGCAGTAGGTCAAGGCAGAGCAGCTTCAGGCCCTGTTCTATAACAGTACACAGTACTGGCAGTAGTAGGGAATACAGTGCTACTATCGTGACACATTCACAGAACTTCTGTGCAGAAAATAGCTATCAGAGGACAAGCGAACACATTCCTTCTGTTGTTCTGCCAGCTTTCCTGCTAAGCATTTTATTAAGACAGGGTCTACTTTGGAGTCAAATTTATTGGCAAACCAATGCCCATAATTCATAAGCCATCGTAATTCTGCAGCCCCATAGATGCGCACACTGTGAAGGTGGGTGCCTGTGCATGGGGGATACAAGTGATCTTCAAGATAATTCCATTTCACCAAACGAGTTGTGCTTTGGAAATCTGTTATATCCTGCGCCGACCTTGGGATTTCCCCATGGACCCCAGGAACACGTGCAAGAGTGGCCCATATATGTTCATCCGGAGAGTAAGTGTCCCTTGACCAATCAAAAAAAATCTTTTGCAAGGGAGTTTTCAAGGGTATATCGAATAAATTCTCGACTTAAAACAAAATAGGCACTGCCTACAAAAACCTCAATATTATGGGGTGGTGGATTCTTGGAAATGTTGGTTTTTACAGGCATCTGCATGTATTCATAAGGCACTTTCATTAGTTCATAGTGATAAATAAATCGTTCTCTTTTGCTACTGCTTGGCTTTATAGTTTCCAGCATATTTCCCCCACTGAGTTTTTTCAGTTCAGCAACCAACTGGAAATTCGACCTCAGAGGGAAATCTTGGCCACACAAATTAATAACATACTTCCAGGGAACTGAGGAGTCCATCAAATCAGACAAACAATTGAAATCTGCCTGCATCCTTGAAATATGTGCATACTCCACCGTTTCCAATTTTGATGCAATGAAAATATTGGGGAAACATTTAGCTAGATTGTTCATAGCAGATTTGAAGCTTTTTGCTGCTTTTTGGTCATAATAGATGCAGTATATATTTTGATGGCTATACAGTGAATGTATAAGCCTTTCTACCATTACTGCATCTTTACGAACAACCAAAGAATAGGCTAATGGAAAATTCTCTTCCTCTGCAGAAACAGGCTTTAGATGGTATTTCCTAAGTGCTACAATGTCTTCATCATCTAAATCAATTATGTATTTTCTTCTTATCTCTAAGCTCTTGCCAATTTCACCAGGCTCTTGTTCATATATAGATGAACAATTAATTTCATAATGGAAGTCATTTCTAAGATAGGAATATCTGTTTCTAACAAAAGAAGAAGTGCTTAGGAAGCATTCAACCAAATAAATGCCCTTATGTGGAAAAAAGAGTCTTTCGACATGCAGGAGCTTCAGCAGTGCAAGCAGCCACCCTGTAAAACACAGGATCAGAATCTTCTTTCTTGTGGGACATTTGTAGGTACACTTATGTCTCTTCATTCTGTAGGAAGACAAAGATATAGTACTTTAAAACAGGAACAATTAATCAGAGGCACCTGCTAACACAGACATGAGCACACTAGTCTGTCTGTAGCATAAATACCAACATAGCATGACAGGGCACTAGAAGTCTGCAACTAGTTTCTTCTGTTCATGTTATTTCAAAAACTGGCAAACAGTTGTAATTTACTTGAAATTAGCTGACTGAAGGCAAGAAAACAAGTTAGATTTGCGATAGCATCCAACAGAATAAGAGTGCTGGAATAAGACTCCTAATGTTTATTTTCCAAACTTTTTTTTTTAATTTATTTCTTATGAGCCATCAACTGAGGGCAAACCCCTCTTGGGCAGAAACACTCTGAGGTTTTTTTTCCTGAGTATAAACTCAAGAAGGAGATTTTATTCTCCTGAGTAAGTCCAAGGAATCCAACGGGAGTAGCAAGGGAATCTTGTGAGTCTGCAGAGAGTGCCTGCTTAATGGTAGGTATTTGTATTTTTAAAAAACAAAACATTAAGCTGAAAGTTTTAAGAGTCACTCAGAGCATCATAATTGTCTCTAGCCCTGGGACTGGGCCATGAACATGTCCAATTAAATTCCTTCTCATCCTTTCCTATGGGATCTCACATGTCTGTAGTCCCCGTGTCCAGACTTCTGAAGAAAGATGAAACCACAACACCTCCAACCAC